GTTAGTACTGGACACAGAGAGAGAGAGAGTTCTTCTTCTTCCTCTTCTAAGTCCACCATCTCTTCTCACCCTCTCGCCACCTGACTTCTCAGACTACGACAGAGAGAGAAAGAGTTGTGACTTGAGACTTGACGACATTGGATCCAGACTGGACATTGGGATTCAGACATTTCGACGAGGGACTATTTGGGCCTGTACCGAGACTTGGTGTTGACGACATTCCCATCTTCCCTCCTCTTTCGTCTAACCCCTCCTTCKTCGTCTGTGTATGGTTGGGGCTGGAGCAGTCTTCTTGTGTGAAGCGCCAGACCCCCTTCACACCAGATAACGATGATGATGATGTGTGTTCAGRGCTGCATTGCAATATTGATTGTTCGGATCATTCGTATCTAACTCTTCCGCTGTGTTATCTTGTACTTTGTATTGAGAGGTCGGTTCTTGTTCTGGTCTGCACGTTACAGTATGCAACAGTTGGTGTGGTCAGAGAGCGTCGGTATTGACGTATGAGTTCGTTGTATTGCTCTTATTTGGATGGTATCTTGGTGCATTGTACTCTCCGCTTGGTACATGACTATCTGGACTACTGCATGATTTTGCAACTTGGATTTCTGTCTCCTTGCAGTATAGTTAAAAAAGAAAAAAAACAAAAAAAAAACAGCCCGTTGTGTACAGCGCCTGATTGTAGCCTGCTGGCCCTCCACAGGTCGTAACAGTCCCTGCTACCGGTACGTCAGACACATATTCCAAAAATCGCCCTACCGGTCCCCCCGATTTTTACAAGGCGGGTGGACCAGTGGTTTAACAGCTAATTAAGGAGATTAGTTTTCAGGCAGGGGACGCCTCTTGTCGATCGGGCTGCAAGAGGTGGTAGGGAATACAGGGTGACTCTATTCACTGTTCGGATCTCGATTCTGCCAAGATGTGACCATCGGAAAAAGTAAACTTTGTATGATGTGATGGCAAAAGCTTTATCAGCGGCAACCAGAGTAATGCTCAGCCGAATTCGGCAGTGGCAGCTCTACAGAAGCAGAGTTCCAAACTAGACAAGGTTAATGAAACAGACTGGAAGATCTTTATGACTAACTGGAAAGCTTATCCTTGAAAAACTGGTTTAAACTTTTAATGTTCATCTCAAGATCGGCATGAACGGCCTTTTTGTGAATCCATAGCAAATTCAGCTTTCACGTATGTGTCTCCTCATCCCATGCTCTCACATCCTTTGCCTCTTCC